CCAGACCCATGGCAGGGACCCCAGACCCACCTCAGCGACCCCAGACCCAGCACAGAGACCCCAGACCCAGCACAGGGACCCCAGACCCACAGTGGGTCACAGACAGGGCAGCACGCAGTACAGCACCTCCAGGATGCCTGCGGGACCCCAGACCCACCTCAGAGACCCCAGACCCACCTCATGGGGGACCCCAGACCCAGCACAGAAACCCCAGACCCACCACAGACATCCCAGACCCACCAGAGAGACCCCAGACTCACAAGAGAGACCCCAGACCCACGGGAGAGACCCCACATCCACAGCGCGATCACACTTACAGGAGGGGGGGTCACACCCACGGGGAGACCCCAGACCCACCAGAGAGACCCCAGACCCACAGGAGGGGGGCCAGACCCACAGTGGGGTCACACTCACGGGAGGGACCCCAGATCCATCGAAGGGGACCCCAGACCCATAGGAGAGACCCCAGACCCACAGCGGGGTCAGACCCATGGGGGGGACCCCAGAATGCCCTGCGGCCGGGGGGCTGTGAGACCCCTCCCCTGGGACCCCCGGGACCCTCCAGGACCCCCAAACCGGGACACCCACCCTGGGACCCTCCCCAGAGCCCCCCAAACTGAGACAGACACCCTGGGAGCCCCCTGGGATCTGCGGCCGGGGGGCTGTGAGACCCCTCCCCTGGGACCCCCGGGACCCCCAAACCGGGACACCCACCCTGGCACCCCCAAACTGGGACCCCCCCCCGACTCTGCGACACCTCCCAGGACCTCCATGACCCCACTGTGACGTCACACAATTTGGGGAGGGGTCGCGGGGGTCGCACCTCCTGCTGGAAGAGACCCCAGATCACCCGGACCTGGCACCCTGAGGCACAGTTTTAACCCTTTAACCCCCGATTTTAACCCCGTAACCCCGAGTTTAACCCTTTAAACCCCGAGTTTCGCCCCTGGCATTTAGGGGAGGGGTCGCGGGGGTCGCACCTCCTGCTGGAAGGTCGCGGGGGAGCCCCAGATCACCCCAAAACGGCTCCAAACTCCCTCTGGGGAACAGTTTTAACCCTTTAATCCCCGATTTTAACCCTTTAACTCCGATTTTAACCCCGTAACCCCGATTTTAACCCCTTCACCCCCGAGTTTCGCCCCTGCCATTTAGGGGAGGGGTCGCGGGGGTCGCACCTCCTGCTGGAAGAGGCTCTGGCGGGCCCGCAGCGCCCGCAGGCGGCCCTGGCGCTGCTCGTGCCGCAGCTCGGGGGGCGGCGGCTCCAGGTACCCGATCAGGTCCTGCAGGCTCAGGATGACCCCCGCGATGGGCAGGGGGGGCGGCGGCGACCCCCGGGGCCGGCCCTGGAGGCTGTCCAGGCTCCTGGGGGGGGGGTCAGACCACCAGGACCACCCTAATGACACCCCCAGACCCACTGGGATATCCCCATCCCGCAGAACCCCCAGGAGGTTCTGACACCCCCAGACCCCTCAGGACCCCCCCAGAACCCCCCAGGGGTTTCTGACACCCCCAGAAGGTTCTGACGCCCCCCAGGACCGCAGGAGAGACCCAAATT